ACACATTTAAAGTAAAGCCTGCAGGCCCACTAACCCTGTTTTATCCTATTACAATATAGTATAGTATACCCTATTTACCCAGTTTTAATTCCCCTGTGAGAAGAGACTTGATGGGAAAACAGTTCTGGTTTTATAGCAGCAGAAGAAATCCTGGCAAACGTCATCTTTCTGAAATGTCATTATATAACCAGGAATCACCATGTGTATTAGGGGAGTCAGCCATATGAGACAGGAAATGCAAACTGAACAGCAATACCAACTCTGGTTTACTGAGAAGACTCAGTGAAAAGCCTGGAACTTTTAAAAAAAATTGTAACTACTAATTTTGAAAAAAGATAGCCAGGACAAGAATGACTAAACACAGATTACAGATATTTTTGTTGAAATTAAAAGTTCAATAGAAAGACTAAAGTCAAAGCAACTTCCCAAATAGGAAAATAAAATATGTAAAGAGATAGGAGATATGAGAACGAATTCAGGCTTTCAGGAATCCTAGAAAGAAGAAAATCTATCCTGTGAAAGAGTTTCCCAGAGATAAATGAAAGGCACAGGTCCACTGAATGCCCATCACAATAACTAACAAAAGATGTGCTAAGATACTTCATAGTACAACTGTGGAATATTAAAGAAAGAGAGAAGAGTAAATGTCAGGGAGCTGAAGAAAGAGAACCATATTGTCAATGCAGCTTTTGGCACATGGGAAATGCACAAAAATGCCACCATTTATTTAGCTTTGTGGTGGCTGTGTTAGAAACTTCAGGTGTAACATTCGGTGTATTCTAGTCTATAACTTTCTCCCTTTCTCCCTTTTGCATTTGCTTATCTTTAGGAAAATTGCATTTCCTTCTCTGTGTAGTTCTAATGTTAGGACCCTCATTTAGGCTACCAGTCAGTGCTCTAAACATTAGGCTCAAATAAATCTGCCATAGTCTATTAAATTCATGTTAAATTTTATTCTGATTGTTACTTATGCTATTTTTTGTATGTTGTCTATGTTTTTGGAGTTTTTTATTACTTTTTTTTCTACCTTGTATCTTGATCACATCCTCTTCCTTCTGCACCTGTCTCTAGTAGCTGTGTGAGCCTGTTGGAGGTCTGCCGTCCTGGGTCTTCCTGGGCTACTTTCTTGAGTTGAACCCACTATTTCTTGGATTCTATGTCTTTCTTATAACTTGCTTAGAAAAATCATGGAGAAAGAAACTTGGAGCCTTTGCATGTCTGACATTGTCTTCATTTCGCCTTCACATTCGATTGACGTTTTCTGGGGATAACAGGATAGAAACAAGGCTACAATATACTAGAGAAGGGATTGGAAAATAGTGTAGAAATAATGAGAGACAGTCTGCCTGATGGAATCCCAGAAAGACTTTGGACTTAGAGTCTGACCCCAAACGGGGGATGGGAGATAAAGGATGGAGCAGACTGGAAGAGGAAAGGAAGCCACAGCCTAGAATGGGCCATATTTTAACCCAGACTCTGAAAGCTTTCTTCCCTTGTCACCATGTGTAAAAAGCTGCCAAGTACAAAGTCAGGTAACAGTGCAAATAAATTAAATGTTGGTACATTGGCTTTTTAGTGCCGTTGCTGGCATCTGGGAACCAGAGCCAGATAATTGACTCTCCGCCACACATTTATTTATTTATTTATTTATTTTTGAGACAGAGTCTCACTATGTTGCCGTTGG